AAAACAAATAGCACATCAACAATTCATGAAAAATGGAAAGCTATCAAATAGCTGAAACCCTATGCCTCATCATTTTCCTAAAAGTACAAACCCTTCATAAATTGTGTAAAAAGCAAAATGGCTTTGCATCATAGAAAGACAAAGAGGAAAAGAGACAGGTTTGAAAAGATATCACCTAACCCAAAGCAGTCCATAACATGTCAAAGGCATCCCTACATAAGCCTGCCAAAAGCCTGATGTAGTAAGCCACAAAAACTCCAAACACAATAGTCCAAAATCTGTCAAAAGCCATGCTGTAAATTGCCCTGCAAAACTGTACCAAGTCAGCCCCTATACCATTCCAAAACCTGCACAAATATTGTACAAAATCAGCAGGGCAAAATATTGCATTGGAAAGTAATGAAACAGTTCCTAAAATTGTTCAAAAACTTATCATTTTCCCCCCAGATCCCATATTTTTTTATCTATAATTACAACAAAAAATAGGTGAGATATACACAAAAAAAAACTCCAAAATCTCCCTTTCTCCTTACTGTAATTCTAAAAAAAATACAAACACAACTTCTATCCTTGTTCCCTAAACTATGCTCAAACAAAAAAAAATCAGAATCAACCTCCCTCTCTCTCTCTCTGTTATCTTTCATCCTCTATCTCTTTACCACCCTTCAACGCTACCTTCAAAACAACCTTCATTCACATCTTCTACATCACAACCTAAATAATAACTTCAAATAGAAGAAGAAGAAAAATAATACAGTAAAAAATTGTTTACCACAGAAAAAAAACCTTACTTCATCTCTTTCATTCTCCACTTCAGCCACCCTTTCCAACCGATTTCTGCCGCTCACCATCTTCCTCCAACCTTCCAATTCCCACTTGCATCATTTGCCATTAAAATTCAACAACAAATTCACCTTTAAAGTTCAAACAAAGCCCCATCGTCTTTAATTGAAAATTAGAACAACTACAAAGTTTGAGTTTTTTGCAGCAAGTATCAAAAGAAGAAGGAGAAGAAATTTTCGAATCATAGCGAAACTATAATTGAAGATGAAGAGCATACCTGAATATATCTTGCTATGGATTTCTCACCGTTATCGCAACTGAAAAGGCACCGGACCATCTCCGGTAGGTAATTTTCTTCAGCCTCTTTCATTAGCTTATGTTGTGTGTTATCATTGTTTTATTCAAACTGAATCGCGAAGACGAAAGCGAAATTGAATCCATGATACCGCAATCGAAAATGGAACAGAAACTGAGAGAACAGAGTGAAGTTCATTTGAAATTGGGCGTGTTTGGAAATTAGGGTTCTTGAACCCGTGATTTTTCCTAAGGAGGGTGGATTCGGGTCAGCTGTGACCCAGTCCGACCCAACCATTGATTTTATTTTTTATTTTTTTATTATTCAGTTTTATTTATTTATTGTCATTCTAGGCCCAAACACTTTTGCTTATCATACATGTTTTTTTTTTGTTGCGACTAACACCCTCACTTGGACAACAAAAATAATCATTGGGCCTTGTATTTCCCCTTTAACCCATGCTGACCCAACTCGTTTTACCTGCTACACCTCTCCCTACTTTTTCTTTTGTTCAGCAAAATAATGTTGTTTGGGCCTCACCCTTGTTCCTTAAGCCCATGCGAAATTCATGTCTTCACACCTCCCATAATTCTGCTTGCACCTTTGTTTTGATTAGTTTATTTTATTTTGTTATTTTTCCTAGTTTAATTTCTTAGAATCAATTAGATAAATCATGTAATTTTTTTTAATTTTATTTATTAGATTAGTCTTAAAATTAATTTAATAGTCTTGTCAATTTATTTTAATATTTGTTTTATTTCAGTTAATCTTTTTAATTATTTTGTTTCTACATGATAAAAATATAAAATATATATATATATATATATATATATATATATATATATATATATATATATATATATATATATATATATATATATATATATATATATATATATATATATATATATATATATATATATATATATATATATATATATATATATATATATATATATATAATTTAATTTTTTTTAATCAATTATTTTTTTCTTTAATAGAATAGGTCTTTATTTTCTTTTCAAATTTTTCTCACAAACAAAATATCAAAAATATTATTTTGCCTATTAGTTTTATTTTAATAGTTTGTTTTAGTTTAACTAACTGTTGATTTTTAATTTGATTTGGTTGTATTGATTGTTTATTTAGACTTTTATTCGCATTGACGATTCGATCCATTCCCATTTGTAAAATTGTACTCCCCATTCTCGAAAGCTCTGTAATAGCGTAGAATTTTAATTTCTGCAATTTACTGTTTTTCTTTATACTGTATAGTAATTAGGCGTGTATGAAAAAATTTAAAATCAATCGCTAGACAATCCTAATCAAAGACAAATTAACTTGAATCAAACACACTTTTCACACATGCATCTCTAAGGTAACCTCGCTTGTCGCCTCAGAAAAACAATCATGTCCCTCGCATGTGAGACGTTTTAGCAAAGACCCATTCGATAAAAAAGATCGTAGTCCCTCGATGTCCCTCGATGTTGCCTTCGATAAACGATCTAGTCCCTTACGAAAATTTCTAAAGCGTCTCATAAGTTGCCTTCTATGACTGCACGGTTGACCCGTACCTGTCCCTTCACATCCAACGATAGGACTTCTTACCAAATCAATGGTAAGATAGCAACATCTAAAGGAGGAGGAAAAGAACAAAGACCTTTTGAGTAAGTAGAACGCTCGTAGTTTCTTGCTCACAAACTAAAATCATTTCCACACTTACAATTTCAAAACATCTTCAAAAAACAAACATCTCTTTGAACTATTTTCAAAACCAACACTTTGTATACATTCTTATAGAGACGAGAATGATTACAAAGTTTGCCGAAACAAAGGCGTTTTCAAAATATTTTCAAACTTTCACCAATTACAAACACATTTCAAACAAAACATTTTCAGAGTGATCAAGCAACTAAGAGCCTGTAGATAACTACAGATAAAAAAAATACTAACACCTCCCCTTTTCATAACCTACTCCCGAACTCAAGAAAATATCTCAAAAGGTCTTTCATGTTCTTTTCACCTTTTTCTTTATTGGATAAAAGAAAAATCGGTGACGACTCTTGTTACACGCAACATTTGCGATAAAACGCAATACACCAAAGTCAATTCTCCCACCGTATTACAGCTAGTCCACAAATAAACAAACGATCTTCCATCTTCGCAGGGTGGTAGTTTCTTACTACCATTTATGAAACTTCAACAAACAAACTTGGAAAACAATCCTTTAATTTGTCACTGCTGACTTCCTTCTTCTTCTTCTCTAATCGATCTTCATCAAAATAATTAATCAAAACTTCAATGTAGAGTGATCATTCCCCTTGCCTCCATTAATCCACAGCCAAACTCACCTTTAAAATCTCTTTGGACTTGTAATTTGTGAATGAATTTGACATTTGATTTGTGTTGTATTTAGATTGGTGTAAGTCTTAATTACAATTGGCATCTAGTTAGTAGCTATATTGTTGAAACAACAACATAGGATAGCATAATAGGGAAAGGTGAACACTGATTACAAATATACACTTGTAGCTATGATGCATCTCAATTTCTCACCTCTAATTATATGTTTAATTTCTCATTAACATCAATGATACTAAATTCAACTTGAATACTAATTCCTAAACTTGAAATATCATATAAGCAAGAAAAAAGTAAAGTTGCAATCACCACAACTCTGAACTTAATAAAATGCAGACTAGTCATTCTTTTCCACTATTTCCTCTAAATGTGGCAACAAAATGAACTTCATTCCAGCTTTCTTTGTCTTCTTTCAATTCTCAAAAGGATAAACAAAACACAAAGACCAATATTGAAAGCAACAAACACAACTAAACTATAGAAAATGAATTTTAAACAACCAAATATGTTTCTTATTTTGTACAAAAACAAAACTAATATTGCAGAAGATACAAAAACATGAGTACTAACTGATATCATATTAAACCTTAAATCAAAATGTGCTATATAGGAAAGATTAAAGAGTTACTGCTAATAATTCCATGAAATATAACAAACAACTACTTAAGGTTCTAAAAGGTTGTCATTGTGATGAAGAAGGCCAGGTTCTCTGTTGGAACTTTTCTTGTCGAGTCTTCTACTGTGCCAACAGTAACACCTTCTTTGTTAACCTTGCAATTGCAACCTAACTAGAAGAAGAAAAACTATTAATAACAAAGAACAAAGAGGGTTTTGAAAGTTCAAAACTGAATAAATAACTAAAAAACAAAGTTTTCATCTTCTACTAAATATTCAGCTGTGGTTAGAGATCACAACATAGTTTGATGGAGTAGAGAGTCAATAAGAGGATAGCAAACAGAAGAAACCATTGTTGCCTAAGTTCCACGTCGATTTATTTCAAAATTTTACAAGAGTTTATAATGCTTACACATATATGGGTTTTTGCTTAAGTGAAATAGAAAGACAATGTGTCTATTGGATTATTGTTGTAGTTTGAATATTTTAATTAATTAATTTAAAAAAAAAAACTTAATTTTAAAAGAATTTAATTACAATTATTAAATATTATATATTTTTAAAATATATTAATATACTAATTAATAAAATATTTTAGACATTTTTATATTTAATAAAAAATAATTTTTTAATCTTAATCATCATTGCCACGTAAATAAAAATGAAGAGAAATTACTAAAATCTAAAGACCATCAAAACTAAGACACCAAAATAGAGGATTTTATAATAGAAAGACTAATTATTTAAAATATTCAAGTTAGAAAAATCTTAATTCTAAAAATTTTGACAAAAAAATCCTTGTAATTTGGAAATGTAAAGAAACCCAGAGAAATTACTTGAGAAATAATTCCAAATCGTTTATATCGTTAATTACGGCCAAATTTCAAGCGAACCAGAAAAAGATGATAGAACAACAAACCTTTCTCCATTAACTCTTCATTCTAACATGTTGCTTTCTCTTTCTCTTTCTCCAATTTTCCGATTTCTTCAACCATGTTCGTGCCTCCATTACGAAAACCAAACTAGTTGTTCAATTTCAATACCTAGATGCAGAATCAACCCTAGAATCTACACCAACAGAAAGCGGCATGATAGTAAAGGAAGAGGTGGCAATAGAATAACGGTAATTGTTAAAGCAAGGCGTGGCGAGTCGCCGTATGAGGTTTTGGGATTGTCTCCTTCCGCGTCTGTGGTTGATATAAAGAAAGCGTATCGGAAACTCGCTCTCAAGTATCATCCTGATGTTAATAAAGAGGTTATTTGTTGTGTACTCTGTTGAATTTTATCTCTTCATCATTGTTGCTTATTTTTGCATTTTAGTGTACTCTCACAGAATAATGCACAGGAGAAATTTTTGAGGATAAAACATGCATACAATACGTTGCTAAATTCTTCACGTAGAAAGTATGATTCTGGAAACCGTGGTTCTAGTTCTTCTCAAAGAAGCCAAAGTTGGAATCCACAAGCTGAAGAAGAATTTTATGGATTAGGTAAAGATTTATAATAATTTGCAGTCTTGTTTGGAGATCTATCTACAAACTTCAATTTTGAATACTTTTTCAATTTCGTTATTGCATTAGCATCTGTTAAAGAATACATTTTCAATTCTTCAATTTTGTTATTGCATTAGCATCAGCTAAAGAATACATTTTTTACTTTCATCAAGTTAGCAACATTTTTAGAAGAAAAAACAATCTTATGTTAATATCTTACTGATGCAGGTAATTTTTTGAGAGATGTTGAAATAACAATAGGTAGTTATATACTCTCTGGTAGACATCATGTGACCAAGCCATCCATACGTTTAGCCTGCATTTCATTACAAATTTAATCCGGGCAAAGCGACGTCTCTATTGTTACAACTTAGTTTTATATTTCATTTCATGTGTGGTTTGGGATCTGATGTTTTTCGTTATTACAGGAGACTTCTTTAAGGATCTTCAAGAAGAATTCAAGAACTGGGAAGCCAGTGCGGCTTCACAAGGAAAACCAAAGAGCCTATGGGAGGAATTGTCGGTGAGACTTCCTGTTAACATTTGTATTTGTTTCTAATTGATTGTGGTTTGTTGACTATGTATAATCCTATATTATCACCATAGATTTCCAAGAAAAGCCTGAGTATTCGACAAGGACTCATAATTTTTAAAATTTTAACTTTCAGGAAATAGGAGAAGAGTTTGTGGGGTTCCTTGAGAAAGAACTTAATATTGTTGAACCAAATGGAAATCCTCAAGGAGAAAATCCATCTAATTTATATGGCGCAGAGACACCAAGCAACGAGACTCAAGGTGAAGCTAGCAAGGAAAACAGAAGTGTTGAGGATAACCTTGATGAAGTAGAAGCTGCTCTTGCTAAGTTAAAAAAGGAGTTAGGTTTATAGAAGAAAAAAATAATAGTTGGTTGAAGCGCAGATGCCAATTTAATACCTCTCATTTATTTATTATCTCTTGGTGGCTCCTGCCAGAAAAATTGAGGAGTCAATACTAAACTTAGTCATTGATATTGTAGGAATGCATACTATTCATCTGATACCACATGCATATGGGAATGAAATAGCTATTTTCAGACAGTATGTGGCTAATGGCCGGACTTTCCAAATCTGTTCCACTCTTGTCTTAAATCTTAATCATGCGCGCTGACTTCTTAGCCAAGCTTAGAGCATGGTCTGTTTTGGATCCTCCGGCTAAGTTCTATTTTTTTCTTGCACAGATAATAAGAGTGTTAGTTACTCTCGTGGCTAGTAGTTTTCTTTCTTACATTTTTTCTTTGTTTTCTCATGTAAACAAAATGAAAATACTCCACATATCAATATTTCAAAATGATCTTTTGTAATGTAAAATGTTAGTCGATGATAGATTTAAAAGAGTGTACAGACAAGCCACATGGAATCACCCCTCTCTCAGTAACAAACAGAGTGGAACCACCTCATGAGTTGGGTTAGTGGGAAAGATGGGTAGGGAAAAAGGTAGATCTAATCGTATTAGAGGGGGAAATGGCGGTAGTGGGAGTATGGTGAAATTAGCTAGTTACTTTGAGAGATCCTTAGGCTTCTTGAATTGTATAGACTATCAATCTACATTGTGTTATGCATTTTTCTTGTACTAAATAATGTAATTCTCAAATAGAATCACACTAATTCTATTTGATTTCATTGAGATCTCATAAGTTAGTTACAACTCTCTTTAGAAGAGATTATATAGTGTGCTTACTGTACTGACTCAGCACAGTTAGTTACACTTCTAGGAAGGGTAGCATAATCACATTGAAGGAGAAGTCTTTACATATTACATCTTCTTCTCCTTTATTTTTTTTCCTTCTTTTTAATATGGTATCAAGAGCTTCTTTGATCCTCAATGATGTCTCATGCCAGTTTCTCGCAAATGCAAACGGTGCTCAGCTCGAATTCGAAGAATATTTTCAAGACCTCTGCACAACAGGTTACGGTCAAACTTGATGAAGAAAATTTACGCTCATGGGAGCAGCAAGTTGAAGGCATTGTTCGAACACTCACACTTCATCGATTTCTAGTTAATCCGGTGGTTCCTGCGTGCTATCTCAGTTAAACCAATTGCGACAATGACGTCTACAACGTATCTTACTTGGGAGCAATAGGACCCGCTGCTGTTCACATGGCTGCTTACTACCTTGTCCAATTCTGTTCTTCCTCGAGTTGTTCGGTGCGTTCAATTGCACCAAGTTTGGGACGAAATTCACAAGTTCATGTTTGCACACATCAATATGAAATTAGACAACTCAAATCAAAATTGAAGAACATCACAAAAGGTGAGAAATCCGTTTATGAATATCTAGCTAGAATTCAGCGCATAGTTGATGTTTTGGATTCCATAGATGATCACGTGTCACATCGTGACCAGTTAGAAGCTATTCTAGATGGACTATCTGATGAATATAATGCACTTGCGTCTATAATTCAATATCTTCCTACTATGTGTTTTATTATTGAAGTTGAGTCCATGCTACTTTCACACGAATCTAAGCTGAAAAAGGTCAAGAAAGCTCATGTCACTGAACCTATGAGTGTTAATCTCACTTAAGGAAGTGTGCTTGCTTCAAACAGTCATCCAAATCCCGTTTCTGATAAAAACTTCAACAATAATCAGTGTAATGATCAAAATCCTAATTCTAATCAGTGGAATGAGAATCAATTCTCTGGTGGATCTCTATTTAATGGAGGATATAGACCTTCACGTGGTGGACTCCACGTGAATCGTGGCAGTGGAGGCCGATTTTCTGGTCACTTCAGAGTTTAATGCCATATCTGCTTTAAGCCAGGGGCATGCTACAAGCATTTGTTATCACAGACACTCTTTAATGATGCATGTGACGCCAACACCTTAGAATGCTCTCAAGCTTGGCAGAGCTCTCCATCCACTAGTTCGAATCAATGGACAAATAGATAAATTCAGTGGCCATCTTATGCCAATAAGTGGATCTCCAATCCTAATCAATGGACTCCTAGCACCAGTCAGTGGAATCCCAGGGGACATGTACCTGCCACTTATGCTGCCAGGCCTAATGCAGCACCTCGGTCAGGTCAACCTCGAGCATTTCTCATAGGGAATGGTCTTTATAACCAGTCTTTCTACAGTGCATCAAATCAACAGTGGTGTCCTGTCTCAGGAGCCACTCACCATGTCACCAACAACACTAAATACTTGATGGTGTCACTCTATTGGGCTATGACCAAGTTTTACCTGGCAATGGACAAGGTTAGTTCATCGCCTCTATAGGAGACACACACTTTCACTCACCTCACACTACTCACTATTAGAAACCTTCGTAAAGTAGTGGACCTTGAGGTGAATCATAATATGCCCAAGATTTGGAGAGATTACAAGAGGAAACGTGAAAAGGCATTGGATGCTGAGTTGGCAGAGGCTTGAGGAAAAGGAATAACTTAGTTGGTATATAATGAGGTGTGGGGGGAGAGAGAGAGAATCATCCGGGATTTCTGTTGTGGAAAGAGAAAATAGATCTCTTTTTTGAGAGGGAAGTCCTTAGTGCTTTTGATATCAATACATTCTTCTATCTTAAATCTGTAATTTGTCTTATTCATCAATACAATTATAGATTACCATTCTATTCTCTGCATTTATTCATTCTTAGTTTCTATAATCCATAAATTGGTCCGACCTGCCGGATCAAAACGGACACTCTGACGGAGAGTGTTCATGACAAGGATGAGTGGCAGAATTGAAGCTTTGGAAACGCAGGTTGAGAGTGTGACAATGACCTGCAAGAGCTTGCTATACAAATGCAACAACAGAGCGTGATCCTGGCTGAATTAAGCAAGCAGATGGGAAAGAAAACAAATGATGCAAGAGGAGAACTCTATGGGTGATTCATCACAGAGTGAGTCTCGTCTTGCATGGAAGAAGGTGAAACTTTCACTGTTTGAAGGAGAAGACCCGATGGCATGGATCACACGAGCTGAGATTTACTTTGATGTGCAGAACACTCCGGATGAGATGTGTGTTAAGTTGTCACGTTTGAGAATGGAGGGCTCAAAATACACTGGTTTAACTTGTTGATGGAAACAGAGGATGACCTCTCTTGGGAAAAACTGAAGAAGGCTCTAATTGCGAGATTGGAGAATCCGTTTGAGGAGTTGTCTATGCTCCGTCAAACCAGAGGGGTGGAGGAGTTTGTGGAAGCTTTTGAGATGTTATCATCGCAAGTGGGATGTTTACCGGAGGAGCAATATCTAGGGTATTTTATGAGTGGCTTGAAGCAGAAAATACAACGACGAGTAAGAACTCTGAACCCACAGAACCGGATGCAACTTATGAGAATGGCTAAAATGTAGAAGATGTGTTGAAGGAAGAAGACAATGGAAAAACTCGTTTGGGCCGTAACGAGACAAATGGCATTTTGTTTAAATCTCGAAATGGGTCAAACCCGACCTATAAAGATGTTACCTGATTTAACCCCACTGGGCCAAATTCAATTTCCGCATCATCAATGAATTCTACGGGATGAAAAGGGAATAATGATCAGCGTACAACACCGTCTGAACGGTGGAAAGGAGTTTGAAGCATTCAGAATGATGAAATGACGGAATGAAGATCGAAGGGGTCGTGCTTTAAGTATGGAGGGAAAATTCATCCCACTCTCCACAAGTGTCCTGAATGTTGGATGCGTGTCCTTATCTTCGGTGAGATTATATCTCTAGAAGCCAATGAGACAGAGGAAGACGAAGAAGAGATAGAGGCCGAGTGCAAGTTAATTGGACACGATGAAGATTTGTGGGAAGATTGCTAGCAATGATGTGGTGGTCTTAATTGATAGTGGAACGAGTCATAACTTCGTATCACCAGAAATTACTACAACACTAGGGTTGCCTGTTAGCCCTATGACGGTGAAGAATATTAAGTTGGGCAATGGTCTTAAGGTTCTTTCTAAAGGAATATGTGAAGGAGTTAGAATTAATTTAGGGCCTCAAGTTTTCGATGTGGATGCGTTGGTGTTGGTGTTGGAGTTGGGAGTGTCATGGTTGAGCACGTTGGGAAAGGTGGTGATGGATTGGAAGGACCTCTCAATGCAATTTCTGCATGGAGGGAGGATGATTAATTTGCAAGCTCAGAGTAGGATTCAAGAGAAGCAAAGTTGCTTACACTCTTTTTTAGAGGATAAGCATAGAAGGGGAGGTGAAGAATGGTGGTGGAAAAATCATGAAGATGTGGAAATTGCTCAAGCAGCTGGGCAAAAGGAACTGACCAAGTTAATAAGTCAATTTTCTGGAGTGTTTCTAGAGAAAATTATTCTACCTCCTGAAAGAAGCCAGCTGCATCAAATTAAGTTACTTCCAGAGCATGGTCGGGTTAATGTAAGGCCATACAGGTACCCTCATCACCGGAAAGAGGAGATTGAAAGGCAAGTTGCGGAGCTGTTAGTTACACGAGTTATCAAGCCCAGAATGAGTGCTTTCTCTAGCCCTGTTATCTTAGTTAAAAAGAAAGATGGTTCTTAGAGAATGTGTGTGTACTATAGAGCTTTGAACAAAGCCACAATCCTGGATAAGTATCTTATCCCTATTGTTGATGAATTGTTGGATGAATTGTATGTAGCAACCATTTTTTCTAAAATATATTTGAAGGTTGGATATCATTAAATTCGTGTTCATGAAGATGATATTAAAAAGACTGCTTTTAGAACTCATAATGGTCACTATGAGTATCTTGTAATGTCTTTTGGTTTGATGAATGCACCAACTACTTTTCAGGTTACAATGAATGACATTTTCAGACCTTTTCTTATAAGTTTTGTGCTGGTATTTTTTGATGATATTTTAGTTTACAACAAAACTAAAATTGAACACTTTGAGCACTTAAAACGGGTTCTGCCAGTTTTAGAGTCACATTGTTTTGTGGAGAACAAGACGAAATGTAAGTTTGACTGCAAACAAGTAGATTATCTTGGACATGTCATATCTGAAAATGGTGTAGCAGTAGATCCATACAAGATTAAATGTGTGCTAGAGTGGCTTGAGCCTAAAAATGTTAAGGGAGTTTGTAACACAGTGGAAGAACTGACTTGGGTGTTTTGCGTTTGATCGCAATAGTTGCGGATAACAAGAGTCGCCACCGATTTTTCTTTTATCCAATAAGAAAAGGTTGAAAAGAACATGAAAGACTTTTGAGATTGTTCTTTGAGTTTGGGGGTAGGTTATGAAAAGGGAAGGTGTTAGCACCATTTTCATTCGTAGTACGGACTCTTAATTGCTTGTTAGATCACTGGCTTTTGTTTGAAAATGTGCTTGTGGTGTGGGTTTTGAAAGCATTTTGAAAAGAAATGTCTTTGTAATGGTTCTCGTCTCTATAAGAACGCATACAAAGTATTTTGTCTTTTTTAAAAATGTTTCAAAGTGAATTTGTGGGTGTATAAAATATTTTTGTTGTGAGCAAACGAGCAACTAGGAGCATCCTACCTACTCAAAAGGTCTTAGTGTTCTTTTCCTCCTCTTTTAGATGTTTCTATCTTACCATTGATTTGATAAGAAGCCCCATCATTGGATGTGAAGGGACGGGCATGAGACGTTTGTATAATCATAAAAGATAATCTATGGGACGTTTTAGCAATATCGTTTAGGGACTAGATCGTTTATCGAAGGCAACATTGAGGGTCATCGTGGAACTACGATCTTTTATCAAGGGTCTTTGCTAAAACGTCCATATTCGAGGGACATGACTATTTTTCCAAGGCAACAAGTGGAGTTATCCTAGGGATGCATGTGTGTGAATAGTGTGTTTGATTGCATGCATTTTTGTCTTTTGAACTTTTGGTTATCTACTTGTTGTTTTTATCTTGCCATATATCCTAGTTACTAACATTTATACAAAAACAATAAAAATGCAAAAGAAAATAAATTCTACACTATTACAACCATATTGAAATAACAAGAAAATATAAAGACAAAATAAGATAAAAGGGAGAAAAATGAGCTCTTTCGATCCAGGCAGAAACATCCTTGGATTCTGCACTTTTTGACCTCTTTTGATTTGGACCTGGAGTCAGCAAGGTTCTGTCCTTCGTTTGAGGCTTAGAGGAAGCAAGGTTCTGTCCTTCGTTTGAGGCTTGGAGGCAGCAAGGTTCTGTCTTTCTCTTGAGGCCTGGAGGCAGCAAGGTTCTGTCCTCCGTTTGAGGCCTGGAGGCGGCAAAGTTCTATCTTTGTCACAGGCTCCTTACTGACTCCTTCGACTGTAAGTATGCTATACTCTCTGGTTGAGATTTGAAAGGCTTGAGCATTTAGCCAATCGGAAGATACAATGAACCTGTCTTAAATTTTTAAAATGCAATATTCAAGTGTAACTACAGGTCAGGGGTTAGCACAAAATTATTGGGTCTCAAAGTCCAAAGTCTAACTATTCAGAGTTGAGGTTTTTAGCATATGGGCAGTCAGAATCGAAAGCTAAGACATGGTCAAGCTCCTTATATGAAATATCTACATTTTATTTATTGGCATGTGTACATGATATTAAAGTAGAATAGATTCAAGTTTGAAGGGAACTTACCTCTTGAAGTTCTTAAATCGAAGGAAACTGCAAGTGCCTTCCTTGATGGAGAATGGGAGTTCGTTGGGACTTTCCTGAGACTAATCCAGTTACCACTTTGTGCAAGCAGTCACTGAATCGAAGGAGGTTGTGTGAGTGAATCGAAGGTTCTTTTTATAACGGGTAATGGAATGACTCAAAGGGCTACTGTATAGTAGTTGTGGTAGTGGGTCGAAGGCTAGTTAGATGGTCACTTGGAGGGTGAATCGAAGGTTCTTTTTATAACAAAAGGGAGTTGAGTTTTTCAGAAGTTGAAAAAATGTTGGGAAGTGTTTGAGAATTTTGGGAATTTTCACAAGTGTTCTCTTGTAATTCTTCAGGCGCCCCTAACATGTGTGGTGGAGTCTCTTATTTATAGATGGCCTGGGATGATGTTTTAGGAGGGAAAACAAAAGATTTAAACAAAAAAGGTATGTTTTATTTGTAGCTTTCGAGAGACGGTGTTTGTATGCCATTTTGGTGCAAGGAATAAGGCAATGTCGCAGGACTGTTGTGCAGCAGTTTTGGAATTTTATGACCAGTGTATCAGGCCTGAACCTGGCAGCGCATGGGACTTGGTCAACAAGTACCTTTGGCATCTCAACCTTTTGTCTTGACCCCCTAGCCTTGTCTTTCAACCGGACTCTTTAACAACTATTACATTTTTTAAATCGAAGTGTCCTTCGAATGACTCATGTGGGTATCCTTTGAAGGGGCCCAAATAAGTGTCTTTCGACCAAACTCTTCATGGGTTCCTTCGAATGGTCCAAATACATGCTCTTGGGGTGGGTCAGCAAAACATGTCATTCGATTGGGACATTCAGACATGTTTGGCAAGTCCTTCGAATGTGTCA